ACGAGCTAACATGAACTTCTCCAGTATGCGAAAGGCCAGAATCCTCCTTCTGGAGTACTTCAGGACAGCAACACAGAGATCCAAGGATCCATCTTTGTTTAGTTCTTTGATCTCCCGTTGAGCGTTTTTTCTTGCACTGTATATCGCGAAAGGAGTAAGCTTGTTGGTAGCCGCCTGCTCCCGCCGGTCCCTCAGGGTGCAGCCTTTCAACTTTTCACTGCTGCGTCCACCGACACGCACGATACCTGTTGAGAGCAGACATTACAGATCAAAGTCTTAGAATTATTATCATAAATGCACGTTCATCAAACGCCTTGTTAAAAATATACTTCTTTTTCTCGAAGCAATCTTCTATTTAGAAGATAAACAATCTGATAAAAAAAAATTCTCGATCAAAAAGCGCTAAGGTCAAAGTGATCTGTCATTGAAGAAATCAAAGGGCTGGTAGAAGGGAGAGAAAAACTCCTCGTTGTTTGGAGCGCTCTCCTCTCGAGTGTTGCAAAGCAAAAATCAGATTATCAACAACATTCAATCAAAAAGGCAAAGATCACAAAGAACCAATCAGAACTTCAAAAAGGCAAAAAGCCAAAGATCACAAAGAACCAATCAGAACTTCATGAAAACAATTGCAATAGATTTAAAGGTGTAGATGACGGAGTCAAGACGAGTTAGGATTACCTTCTAATTATATTGGTTTAGCACTATAAGAAACCGCCAATGCAATTCTAGATTACCTCGACCTTCAATCGAGACTTCTCTATTAATCTTAGATTACCGCCGTAAAGATTCGAGAACAGCTGAAATATTACATTTCTGCCTTTTTTAGGGGGGAGAAAGAGGATCGCAGATTACAAAAATGTTTACTTCCTTACCTTCTCTCGGAAGACCACTCAAGAAATCGTCCAAGGCGTGGTTCGTGTAAGACACCATCAAAATTGGCGACGGTTCATTTTCGTTCTGCCGCAAGGTGCTGCTTTGTAGCAGAACACGCGCTATCTTCTGACCAACGTACGTCTTCCCAGTACCTGGTGGGCCTTGTATGACCGCAAAATTTTTGGTCAGTGCCATTTTGAACGCGCTCATCTGCGACTTATTAAAGCCTAGGTCTTCTGGATTGAGTTCCAAGTCGTAAATATTCAAGACACCAGCGGGTCGGTCGTCTGCTGGAGGTCCTTCATTGGAACCTTCGTTACCGTCAATTGAAAGTTCATCTGTGGCAACGGAGTCCAAATCACTGCCCGAACTGGCTGAATTTTCTTCGGACAGCAACTCGAGATCGGGCATACTCCACTCAGCATCTTCTGTATCCGACCCCCAATCACGATTGAGTAAATCGCGATAATCGGAGATGACACTATCTTCGCTAGAAACTGACTCAGCTTCCATGTTTTCCATGATGTTACTTACTTGGGATGTTGTCAAGTCCACTTCTTGTTCTATTATTCCACTCATGTCGAAAAAACCATTGGTTTTGTTTTCATAAGCAGGTGGCTTCACATCTTGGTTACATTGAACGATATGCTCTGCAAACGGAAGTTCACCGTCCTTAATTCCTTGCAAGCCTTCTAAAACGTGTCTGTAGGCTTGGAAGAACGCTGGGGACTCTACCATATCAAACTGCTCTTTATCCTCTATGAATTGATTCAGGATTTCAAGATTAGCTTCTTCAAATCGCACTTCAAGCTCGCCAACACAAAGGTCGCGTGAATCTCGATTCTCCACGGTCGCAAGTAAGAGATTGCGAAATCCGTCGGCTGAAAGGCAAAGGAGGGAGCCAAACTTGAAAAGCTTGCTCTTCTTCTCCCATTTCACGCGACTTGCATCCGGGTGAAACGAGTCGAACCGGATTCTGTAAACCATTCCCTTTCCACTACATACGGGGTATAAGATTGTGACGTTACGGTACACAGGAACGTCTCGCGCACGTTTGCCGTGGCTTGGGTTACTTGCTGCCGTGGGACTGCGGTCCCTTTTAAGCTGTTTTATTCCATTGCGAAGAGGTAAGATGAAGTCTTCTCTTAAAAGTCGAAATTGCACGTCTAAATAGTGCTCCTGGTCTAAGTACCTTCCATCAACAACGTTTTTACGAAGAAACGGCTTGTTATGGGGTTCTAAATCAGCTACTCCTGGGATCACGCTCATATCGCGAAAATCCTCGGGTGGCGTTAGCTGAGGCTCGTCTGGGTGAGTTGTTTTCCGGCGATTTATTTCATCTTTGTACTCCTTGACCTGTTTAAGTTTCTTCTCCAACGTCTCTGCGTCTTCAAGGAGACCCTTACTCTTCAGATCTTCCACCGTCTCATTCAGTTGGGCATTGGGAATGAGGTGAATTACGTCCTGTTCAAATCTCTGCAACAACTCCAGGAAAACCTCTGCTATCAGCAAGACCAGTTTATCAGGCTCGTAATTGTCACCAAGCTCTGAAACGTCGGACATTTGGCTGATAAACTTGGTAAGATGCAATTGCAGGCAATTTGTTTTAATTACCATACGTAGCATTTTGTTAGCAATCTCTTTCTTATCATTTGGTGAGCAGCACACGTGTATGGCTCGAATAACAAGCTTCATCAGATCGGGTCGTATTGTTTCTGTCTTCAGCAGAGCCTCAAATCGTTTAGAATTGTTGAAGAGATCCAATATGCCTTCATCAGGAGAGTTTGAATTGCAGATTTTATCCAATGCCATGTAATTGAGAGGCTTTGGATCTCTTTTTTGTTGAATTCCAGCCTCCCCATGACTTTCTCTTCCATTTCTGTCAATTTCTCGTCTTCTCTCCTGGGAAAACCCACGTGACTGCCATGTTCCACCTTCATTTCTTTCGATGCATCCTTGTCCTTCAACAGACATGCGCAGTCTCTTTGATCTCGATAAATCATGACCCTCTTCACAGAAGGATCTTTTATTTCCTATCCCTGTTACGGTTCTCTTCATATTTTTCTGACTTTGGAAGTTACGTTACCAGCAACATGGAATACTTAACCTAAATACTTAAAACAAAAAGGAAAAAAAAGAAAAGATAAAAACCAAGAATTCTCCAAGCCATAGTTAGTAACTGATCGTTTATTTAACAGTCCTTGTAAGAGTACACTTGATAATGACTTTAGTGATAGACAGCCTGAGCGAAAGTCATCCTCAGGGTCACGTGAGGAGTCACTTGTCAGTCGAGATGGTCTGGTTCCTGAAAGCTGATTGGTCAGTTTCGCCGTGATTTCCTGGCTTTTTAACCTATGCAGGGTGTATCCTTTAGTCTGTTAGCAAGCAAATTCGTAATTATGCTTGGCGCTTGTTCAAGCTGTAGTAAAGACTGAAATAACTGAAAAATTTGTTTACTGATCAGCTAACGTTGGTCAGGGACAAGATAGCAGTGCTTGTGCTTTCATGATACGAAAACTTGTTGAGAGGCAAGTATACCTGAACTAAGTTCTTGTGAGAATATAAAGACCGCAAGATCTTTCCAGACTTCAGTAGAAACGTTTTAGCTCAAAACTACTCTTGACAAGTTGATCGTTTCAAAACATTGTTAAGAATAAAAATCGCGTCTGAGATCTCAACTTTTTGAAAATTATAAGCACTTTAATTGGTTACGTAATTATGAGACCTTGTCAAGGAGTTTAGACTTCACAGTCTAGCGGATGATCTCTCAATATTCATTACGGCTGACTTTTCGCTGAAGAGCTTGTTTTGTCATCAACAGTATCAGGATTTATGACAACTGAGCATTAATAATGAAAAAAAAACACAAACCACTTTTCTTTCGCAGTCATGAGCATTAAAACATGAGCAGGTAAAGAGGAAGCCAGTAACTATCAGAAAGCCACTCGTACGTCGCGCAGACGACAAACGTAATGTGTTCAATGAACTGTATCATTAGCCAAGCGAACTATTCATCGGGTTGCTAATTTTTTAAGTGCTGCTGTCGTGTTGCGTCGAGGATTTGTCGATAAAGTAGTGAACTGAAGTGAAGTTTACAAATTTTACCCACCACATAAATTAAGTACGCTTTCGAAATTAGTAATTTAAAATGGACACCTATCGTTTCAAATTTGTTTTCAGAACGCTCACATTCATACTTTGTGACAAGTTGACACACTTTCCTGGTAAGATCAGCTCGATTTTAAAAATAGAGTTGTGAGAATTCTTTCCAATAACAAGCATCAGCATATTACCAAGTATTGTAATCCATACATCAATACACGATCAAATTTCGAGGCTTGCCAAAAGCGTTAAGCTTCATTTGTCTCAGAGCTAATTTAAAATTCAGCAATATTTATAAATCATACGTACCCAAGTCTCACATGGCTCATTGGTTTCGACGAAAACAGAGAAAAATAGGATGAAAAAGACGTAAACATCACTGAACGCCACCATCTCTTGGAGTATTCTGCGAAAGTTTGCGAAGAGCATCTGCGATTCTGAGAAAGGCATCCTCTTCCTGATTGGTTGAACGTATGGAATGATTCTTAAGTCACACATAAAAATAGAAATACAATTACGCCACCAGGAAATAACGTTATAACTGCGAAATTTTTAGTGAGTCTTTTACACGAGACTATCTGAACCGGTTGATTGGAATAAATCTGTTGTATGTACTGTTTTACAATAAAAATCTGCAATCAAATGAGCCTCAATACAGTTCTTGACCAGTTATCACGTGAAATACATTAGTCTATGGCGTGACAAATAAATGGCCACACTGACAAATCTCGGTGATTGGCCCTACAGAACGACCTGGACACTGCCTAGGGCAACGGAAAACTCCGCAAAAGCTATATCTCTGCGAAAACAAAAAGTACGCGGTAATGTCCACGTCAATTTTCCAAAGTCAAGGTTAGAGTTCTTTGACGTCTAGAATTTACCAGATTATTTTTTTCTCTTACCTGAAGATTTCTTTGAAATGAAGGCACAGTCGGAAGCTGGTTCTCAACCGAGAGGGAGAGGGGTGGGGATGGAATAGCTTTTTCTTAAAATGACCAGTAGACGCTCAAATAATCGATGTAATGGGTAATTTACTGCTAAATTCAATTGTCAATACAGGTCAGTAATAGTCACTGATAAAAATACAATTAAAACATTGAAAAATGAAACTAAAACGCGGAAAGTTCTACAATTATGCCCGTGTAAAAATCCGATATCTTACACACTCAACAGATGATTCTTTTCTTCTTAAAGAAATATGCAACCTAGCGATATATGAAAAAAAAATTAAAAATTAATAAATTTACCACATGCTGTAATAACTTAGTTGAGAAACGAGTTAACCAAAAATTTACATATCAACAAAGCATTATAAATTTAATTTTTTTAAAAAGAAATTCCACTGACCCACCAAATAAATCCCCCATCGTCTCTTTAAGATAATTATATTACAAGGCACTTCTAAATTAAAGCACGCAGTAGCGTATAAAAGTAAAATTTTTTCTTCCGTAATTGCAAGCAATTGTTTCAATTTGGACACACTCCAATTTGTGATATAACTGTATAACAGTATTACATACAGTACATAAGTTATTTGGAAATAATTTATACAAAAAGCTGTTCTCTTTACCAAGTTCTCATTGTACGAACCCTATTTCATTGCAATAAAAATTTTAGCCTACTTGACGGTGAATAAAACCAAAAATAAAAGAATTATCCCCTATATCGGTCAAATACTATGTCCTTACGTTTTACATAGCTACTAATGAAACTTAAAATGCCCCAGATTAAAAAAATTATATTTTTACTACCTACAAATTTTTTTGGTTAGAGAAAGTGGTTTCATACGACCAAATGTCGCCATGTTGGATATGATGAAGTAATACATTAAGCGGTCATTACTGACGTCATCAAAATGGCGTCACTTCAAAGAAATGGCACAGCCACGAGTTACACTTCAGCGATATTATCAATGATAGCTGCTGTGTTGAAACTTGCTATAAATTAGCCAAGAAAAGGCAATGAAACGCGGGAGTAGATTATATTTGTCTTAATGTGTTAGCTAAATTGCTTTGCTGGGTTGTAAGCGGAAGCAGTACACACCACGACACCTTAGGAAATCTTACGTGATACATTAAAAACCCATGAGCGCATCCTCTGACCTGAAGTTGCGCTTAAGTGTATATGATCTAACTGCCTTTTTAATGGAGGGGGGAGGGTGGGTGGGGATCTCCACTGCGTGCTTCACACGTATAAGAGGCATCTGTGATAGTTTATCTCGAAACGAGACCGAGATTCAGAGCTTTAAGTATCACATAGGTTGTTAAGAGTAAGTTTGCGTTTACAAAAACTATTCCAAAGTTGATTGCTGTATAAGGTGTATGCTTATCTAAAAATCTCTTTAAAAATTTTTCCAAACCAGCAGAGGATAGATATGCCTAGGTTTATATTCACGCCTTATCAATGATGTACTCGAGGAGGTGGTTACTTTAGAATTCCTCCATGTGACACACGTGGACCATTATGCACGCGTAGCCCACGTGAACGTGCAATGGAAGCCATGATCAGCAAGCACGTCTTGAACTTTGCTATCCTTGTGAGGATCGCACAGAACTTCTGCCGGCTTCCATGATACTTAGCTCCGTTCTGAAGTTAGGAAAACCACAAATTACACACATTTTGACCAAAAATTTTATCGCTGAAAATATCGAGGTGAATGCAACCGACCAATGTAGATACTTGCTTTCACGTCTTTTCCGCTTCTTACCTTAAGTCACCTACTCCTTTGCTCTGGAGAAAGTCTAACGCTCGAAATGTCAGCTTTAGTAACTCTTTACGGTGGTCAATTTAAAATTTATCCACTCAGTTGGTAAAACCCAATGATCTCACCTACTTCGAGCGCACGAAACAAGTTCGCATTGCGTGTCGGAAAGGGAACAAAAGACTCATTTTCCCGCCTTATCAACGGCACAGTAAACTCATTTTATCTCATGAACTACAGTCTAAGAATTATACGCAAAACTATGTCTCAATGAAATCATGTATATACGTTGCTCTTACTTGAGTACTTTAGGGAGAGGTGTTTGGTCCAGTTTGTACTGAATAACAGCCAGTTTGCATAATGTTCGAAGTGACGGCTCTGTAGAGTTAAGGACAGTCACTCATTACGGTCTATGACGCAATTTAAACGATGCTACCTATCGCAGCGAAATTTTGAAAAATCTTAAGACGCGGTTTGGTTGTGTTATTCCACAAGTGAGCAAGATACACCAAACTCTGAGTTAGGAAATTGCTCCTTAGGGATTACCCTTCTTTGAGATAAACAGGACAGTTTGCTCATTACTATTTAACTGTGTGTTCAGAATTACCCTTCTCGTGTCCTCAGTATTAAACTCCCTATACGCTCGTGGTTTCCCTTCCTGTGCACTCAAGATAAACATCTGTACCTGCCTTCTCGAGATTACCTTCCTTGTGCACTCTGCTTAACCCTCCCTGTGCAATCTGCATCACTTTTCCCGTGCACTCCGGACTACCAACCCATAGAATCCAGATTACCGACCCTGTGCACTTTGGAGTACTGTCCCTGCGCACTTTGGAGTACCGACCCTGTGCACTTTTGAGTACCGACCCTGTGCTCTTTGGAGTACCGACCCTGTGCACTTTGGAGTACCGACCCTGTGCACTTTGGAGTACCGACCCTGTGCACTTTGGAGTAACGACCCTGTGCACTTTGGAGCACCGTCCCTATACATTTTGAAGTACCTTCTTGGTGTAGTTTGAAGTTCCTTCCCTGTGCACTTTGGAAAGGAGAAGATAGAAATTACTCTGCAGTGTGTACTTACCAAGATCTAAGATGTACAGATCAGAATGATCCTGGAGGTGGTATTCATCATCAGCAGGTTCTCCTGCAGCAGGGCTACAAATTAAAAAAAAAAAAACACAACACTAAGTCAGTTTTTATGAATGAAACTGCTACTTCTGCTGTAAGTTTGAAATCTGTAGTTAATTCATGTATAAACATTTTGGTTCAGTTCCCTTTTGCTTTGCCAACAGTGGGCTACTTAATAATGTAAATACCTTGTTCCACCAAAGATCATCAACCTGGTTCCTATCAGACAACAGCAGTGTCTCCTTCTTGGACATGGCCCATGTCCTGAAATGTCCAGTTTTGTCCAAACATTGGTATCTAAAAGGAATGCAAACTGTTGGTCAGTTGTAAAATAAACTGTGGCAATTAAGTTGCAATTCTCAAAAAGAAAATCAACAACTCTCTGGATGTTCTCAGGCTGTGTACAGTTGTAATAACATACCCTGGTCAGGGCAGTGCATGACTCAAAAAAAGTAGCCCCAAAACAATATAAAACAGAATGACTTTTGCAAAATTTTTGTACCTGTGTCTAAACTAAACACTTCTCCATAATGTTTCTTTTCAATCCCATTGTAACCACCAAAAACATAGACATGTTTGCCGTAGGCAACTGTGAAGAAATTACAAGTGAAAAGTTAATTACCTAAGTGGAGAGCATGTCACTATCAAATGTATATGGATTTGTCCAATGGGACCATGTAATGAAAAAATCAGTAGCATTATTACATTGGTTGCCTTGATCAAGTTGCTAAAATTGTTAAAAAAATTTTACTTGCAGAGTTGAAAACAAAGATGAAAGGAAGACACTTGAAACTTTTCAACTTAATTCTATCAACAAATTATTTATGGTAGATGTATAAACCAAATTTTTTTTCACATCAGTCTGCGTGCACAAGATAAAAGACACATAGCAAGTTTGGGGAGCACTAGAAATGTGTAAGAAATGCTCAAGATGCAGCTGAAAACAACTTTAGTTTCATCAGAGCTCTGAACACTTCCCATCTGCTTTAAATCTTGATGAACATGGACTGATTTATGAACCTGTTGTCAAATGCCATTTCCACTCCCACAGTTAAACTCCCAAGATCTGATTGTTAACTCTACCCTCTGGCTGCTACAAATTTCCTTGTAACTTGGTTAAAAGAATTTAGTATTTGATCAAGATGATAACTTCTGCCTGATTAGTTTTAATATTCTCATCACCTGTTTGCTAGATAATGTATGAATACTATGGGGAGAACTTACATGTTTATCATTTCTGGGAGTTAACGGGTTAATCTTGCAGAGAGAGAAATCCTCTCTGCTATGAGTTACCCACCACATCAGAGTGCACAAAGGAAATGTAAAGCTCAAGCATACTCACACAGTTGAATTAGACTACCAAATTGCCTAACTATGTCATGATGTTCATTAGTAAACAGTGACTAACCTGCAGAGTGACTCCGTCGTCCAATGGGTACATTTCCAGATGTATTTAATTTGAACCAACAGTTTTTAACTGCAAAACATGTGTCAATTTTCAGGTGGAATTAATCACAAAAGTATGATAAACAGTGCAAGGGTCAGTCTATTTGTAAAAGCAGTATTCTTGTATTACCAGTAAACAATAACTACAGAAATGTGATAAATTCTCAAGCAATACAAACCTGTATCAAATACTCTAACTGAGCTGGAGTAAACTTCCTGTCCAGAATGGTATTGCCCAAGTCTATCTCCTACAAGAAAACAGCAAAACAAATTAATTGTTGATTTAGTTTCTGGTCCCATGAAACACCAGAAAAAACTAATATCCTTTACAAGGCACTCAAATGCAACTTTTTTATTTTCCATGGTCTTGCTACTCACAATACTTCATTGAATCAGAAGAGATTTAGCACATTGAATCAAATATAACTAAGGTCATATATGTCCTAAATACAATGTAAATACGCTCAAGAAATAATTCTTCTCACTACACAATTAATATTCAATATGTTCGTTTCTAAGGTTATACTTTTCTATCTTTTCAACAGTTTCTATTTGAGCAGTTTTTGATTGAGTATCAAGAGTAATCCATGACTGCATTGGCATTACTTTCCTTGTTCTGTGACTGGTCGAAAACTTGCACCAACATCTCAGCCAATCAAATATGAAACTAAACCAACCCAAACTTGGTCACTTGCATTTTCCCCTGCTTCAAGCAGGCTGCCTGTTTTTGCTTTCAGTTCTCATTGGTTGAGGATCATGTTAAATTTTTGCTTTGTTATGATTGGTAGTTTTAATTAATTGGTTTTGGTTTTTTTGACAAAGTGTGACAGTGTTACTAATCTAGCCTTGAAATGGGATTTCCCAGGGCAAACAAAAGAGAAGACACCCAAAAACTACCTGGCGGCAAGACAATCAGGCTGATATGAAGAATTGGGGCTACACCTGGATCACACATGAAAAGCTTGCGCAAAACAGGTTGGGGTGGAGAAGGAGAAATCTTCAATAGCCTATGCTCCAGGGGAAGCTGAACAGTTGTTGGGCAGTGAAGGATTACCTTCCCTCCCACTTAACCCTTCATGCCAATGACTGGAATATAAGGAACTCCCTGGCTTTTTTTTTTTTGGTATTTTTTTGGTTTTTTTTTTTCAATCATCCCAGAAATAAGGGGCATCCCTAACCAACTACATCCTCCTGTTCCAGTGCAGGGAAATATTTGATCTTCCTGCCTAGATTTGTCAGTGATCAATCTTACCTCTGCCTCCAAAGATGTACATGTTTGTACCAACAGCTGTTGCTGAGTGGAAGTCTCTCCACTTGGCTGGTTCACCCTGCAGTCAACAACACAAACATCACAAGAAAACCACCATAGTTTGACAAACATATTAATTGCTTTGTCTAGGGTTATTGTGATATCAGGAAAATTCTTGAGAGTTGGTTGGCAAAGGAGCCATAAAGTTGTAAACCAACTTGTAGAAACATTAAACGCAGAATTTTCAGGGCAAACACAATGTAAAGTGGCCACAGAATTTTGCAACCAGAAGGGTTACAGAGTAAGCTACATTTACACACCTTAACCCCTTTGACCAGCTTCTAATTTCTCCACACAATATCACTCCTTAATCAAACATTAAGGTCATGAGAATAAAAGAAATGATCACCAAATAAAGGAGCTCTTGATTATTAGACAAATTCTCCTTGTTAGCCCCTTAGGAAATGTATAGAGAACAGTATGGAGAATATGCATACTGATGGAGTGTAAGGGTTAAAACCTTACCGTTACTCTTGGTTGGTGCCATGTTAATGTTTGTGTATCCAGATATTCAATTGAATTTGAAAAGCACTCTCCCTAAAAATTAATCAGGAAATAAAGCAAGGCATTTACAATGCAACTATGCTTCAAGGTGTAAAAATTCCTTCAAAATTATACCTGTCCAGAAGTCTCAAACATACTAAGCTATCGGCTTATTATTCAAGCACTGATGGGACGGCATATAGATAATACTTGTGAGAAATGCATTGCAGACAGTAAGGAGAATTGATATGTAATTCTTGGGAAGAAAAGTTTATCTTGGCCTTTAACTCCCAAGATCTGATTGTCAAGTCTCCCTTTTAGCTACCTCGCATTTCCTTGCAAATCAGCTATGAGAATTTTATTTCAGATCAAGATGATAAGTTCAAGTTTGTCCCCTTCGTTAGATAACGTATGCTTGGATATTATAATGCGATTTTGCATGTTTAAATAACAATCAAGAATTTGTTGGTTTTACCTCCTCTTCATATCCACCAAAGATATAAATCCTAGATTCAATAACACAAGCTGAGTGGCCATCACGGGCAGCTGGGGGTTTTCCATTTACTTTAGGTTTGGACCATGTTAAACTCCCTAGAAAAAAAAGGCAAAACATATATACCACTTAGTGGCTTCCTGTCCTATGCTATCTTAAGATTGCTCATAAAACATTAAAACAGTTGTTGCTTAATCCCAAGACCCCCAAGAGGGCCTAGTATCTAATTTCTCTCTGCAATATCACCCATGAATCCAACATTATGGTTAGGAGAATAACCGAAATGATCACCAACTAAAGATGCTCTTGATTGTTGAATAAATTCTCCTTTCAGGCAGTAGCCAGCAGTGCATCTTACTACTGCCTAGAACTACTTGGAATTCTTGAAGATTCAAAAAATAGAAGGATTGCTTTACTGATTTGAAAATTTCTCTAGGTTACTTCTTGTCTAAGAGTTTTGTTGACATGGATATGCCACAGATTGCCAGTTCATTTTATTTTGTTCAGTTTCATGGTTCTATTTTGAGGTTAGATATTTCTCTTTACTTGCTTTCAGTTTAATCACATCTATGGTGATCGCTCTGACGAAGGGCTAATGCTTGAAATGTCAGCTTTTTTACCCTTTACGATGGCCAATTTACGTTCTCAACTCAGTTGTTAACACTTAATTACCTGCTATACTCTCTCACTGATGCAGCACCACAATTTGTTTAGAAACTTACCTCCTTTATATACAGAATCATTTGGTTAAATATTAAATATCTGTGTATTCCATAACATGGAGTAGAATCTGTGGTATTTACATAATCAGAGTACCAAATAACTCATCTCACTTGTGTCAAAGCAGTACAGTATGTTACAGGCCCCATGTGTGTCATTTCTCCCGCCAAATATGTAAACCAGATCACCCATGGCTGATGCACTGTGACCATATCTCATGTATGGAACACATCCTTTACATTCACAAGATACTGGAGGAGGCTTCATCCATCGGCACTGAACTGCAAGGAACATGACCAGTCTATCAGTGCTTCTACTCTCAAGAATGATCAATACTTAAATTCTCTATACAATTTCAATACAATTTAGAACAGGGAGGTATTGAGCCCTGAACTTTTTTCTTTCATTTTGTGAAAACCTCAAGATTTCTCTAAAAACCTTGTACAAAAAGAGAGAGTTTTCTTCTATAAACATGATGCATGGATTTATCTAAAATCAGGACCCTCCTCCCTTTTCCCTCTTTGCTACCCTCTTGGAGTGATCACTACACAATATTTTGTCACACAAAACTTAGTTAAATCAAATTAGAATCAGCAATGACAACCACAGAGAAGTTATACATTAAATGTCTCAAGATTGAAATTGGGTTGTTAGCCATATGAAAAAAGGACAACTGGTGAACATTAAGCAAAAAAACATCAGCATGGACAAAACCTGACAACAAACTCAACCTTGAAAAATGTTAAATCAAGCCCTCGGGTTTGTTTTTTGAACGTCCCAAGAACATAATTAACGACCCTTCATGCTGTGCAGTTTCATTCAAAATGGGATTTTCAAAAGTTTTGAAAATTACATGTATAAAATATAACTATCAGCTAAAGAAGCAAAATGGGCTTATCAGGGTTCCATAACCTGCTTCTCTCTTCTTTAAATTTAGATTTTAAAATATGCCTTTGGGCCAGTTACGTTACCAAGGTTTTTCAGAAATAGGACTCAGGGAATAGAGGTAACAAGGAAGTACACAGTGTCATCACTCTCAGCTGATTACAATTAGACCTGATTTGAATCCTGACTTGTATCATTACACTGTATTCTAGTGGCTCTCCCCACCCAAGAGTACAAAAAAATGAAAATATTCATGTATGGTCATGGCAAATTTGTAAGGAGAAGGATGTCAAAACCCAAATTTATCCACAATAATTTATTTTCATTATTGGTGCGAAGTCTGTAATCAAAATCAAATCTCTGTGCCAGATACTCACAATTAACTTTGTAATAATATTAAGAACAGCTTTCGGTTGAGAAAATTATTATGTAATTATAGTATTGGTCCTCGATGCTTCATGAAGGGAGCCCAAGCTAACTCTGCTGCAAATTCGCGACGATAAAATATTTAACGTCCCTAACTGGATACTATACTCAGATGTAGAGAGCTTGTTTTCTGCGCTTGAGTAGAGTAAGCGGTCTTCTGTCCTTTGCACGTTCATTCCGACGAAGAAATATCATATTTTTAGCACAAAAATAACAACATTCAAGCCACAAACTTGTGGCCATATTATTAATTCATGGCGAATGCTGTAAATTAAAATGCGCACGTAAACAACTTAGCTCTGCTGTCGAACTCAATTGCTTTTCAAACGTTAAAAGTTTAAAGGACGCCACTTATTTTTGAATCAATGCACGATTTCATATGCGAGATTGATAAACGAATTCACCTCAGCAGCAAAACGAAAACTGCTAATATTAGCCACGCATAAAGATTGCTAACAATGCATTTCCGGTAGGTTTTTTTTAAAAAAAAAAATACCTGCTTGTGACAAGTTTTGTATCTTCGAAAAGCACGCACGTTCGAATCTCGATTTTTCACGCGCTGAACTCCACAATGAACCAAAGCCGTGCAATGTTAACCTCAAATTCAACAAACTTACCTGTATCAAAAACATGCACATCTATATTAACAATTTGGTTGTATTCCTCGCCCGTACAATAACCACCAAAACTAAATATGAACCGATTTCGAATGGATACTGCTGCATGATTTACACGGCGTGGGCCTCCTTCAACCTCCTGAGTCCATCTAATAGCCATGGCTGAACTACACTAATCCTCGAACTACTTCTAAAAACGTTTAAAAAAGGAACAAGCTAGAATCACTTCAGATTAAAAGCAAAGTACAACTGTTTGTTGCCAGCAAATGGGCTGCAGAAAATTTTGTCATTCGAGAATATTAGATGAGATGCTGGTCAGCGGAAACATCTAGTGAGAACGTGTCTGTTGTGTAAGACAAAAGCATAGTGTCTTTGTTATTTTTTTTAGATAAGGCAAAACAGCTGGAATCAATGGTGTAATACGAAATTTCTCGCCACCCAGGATGGTAAAATATAACAAAATCTCTTGTAAAATGGTTTTTTCGACAAATGATACGGTGAACGGAGCTCTCAAGAAAGGAAGCAGACCAATAACATTAAAATGCGTTTTTTTTCTTCATCTTCAACTTGCTAATAGCTCTGTTCCTTTGATCAAGGAACACTTATCTGAATTGTCCATACGTCACTCACTTGTAAATACAATCAATATTATTTTTTCTTCAAACATGCGTTATTAAATGCGAGGTAAAGAAGATATCTGGATAGAAGCCAAGTTCGTTATTTACGTTCTTCTTAATCTCTTCTCTCTTTTACTCATGAAAGAATGTTTTTAACTTGCAAACCGCGGAAAGCGAGGCTGCCAGCAGCTTTCTTTCTTTTTGAGAAACGATGAGGAATTAAAATCCAAAACGGAAAACTAACGCTCGTTTTTCCTGCTAAAATGGACAATTAAGGGGCGTTAAAGTTGAGGTGCTTTATTTATCTCTTTCTTGGGTGTGGCGTGCTATAAATGCTAGCGATCCGAAATCCTCGTTTTCAAATCAGGCCGACCGATCTTTACTAAGCCTATTGAAGATTTCAATCCAGTAGAATGTACCATAAATTTTCTTTACTTTAGAAGATAGACGTGACATTGTCACGAAAGGTTTACCGACATGTGAAAAGGACAACATAACGAAGTCTTGTGACCAGATCCCCAACAATAAGCAAATCAACAGACAAAAGAGGCTTGAGCGAATTCCGAAACTACGAGTACAACTAAAGGTCGATAATTTGAAAAATGGTAACTCCTCTAGACAACAACATTACAGTGAAAGAATGTCAACATAGATCAGTGGCTTGGAACAGAATACGGCCAATTCGTTCCTATCTTATCTTAAATAAGCTTAAGCAGATGTTCATATCCCGTGCAATAAACTCGGACTGTCGCCCATCGAATTATGCCAAATCACGTGCTTTGTGCATGAGGGACAAGGTCCAAGGTTCATATTTTATCTTCAGCTCACAACACCTATGCGAACGACACGAAAAAAAAGAGACATGCTACAGTGTGAAAAATGAAAAATCTTCTACTCTAATACTGAGTCAGAAATCAAATTACGCAAGGTAACCACATAATTTGCAAAAACATGACAGTTATTCTGAGATGCAAAGAAAACACTTGATATCATTAGCAGTAATTTTTTTTTCTTCCTCTTATCTGGGATTGGTGTTATCTTACAGTAAAATGATATCTGTCTGTTGGATTGAAAACGGAACAAGCTTCTGTCCCCGACTATGATCTAATCCGAATATTATCAGTTTTTAGCAAAGTTAAACGAGTCAAGTTAAACTGTTTTAAACGCTCAATTTAAAGGGACGGGCGAAAAGGCGGCGAGGGTAAGCGCGGGAAAAATCGCGGGAGACGAAATCCTTCCCAAACTCCCTCGGATTTTCGCTCGTCTGCTTTGACAGAGAATGGTTCAGACTAATGCACTAGTCAGTGGAAAGCCCCGCACCCCCATACCCGGGGAATGCGGGTCATTAGCGGGGGATTTTAGCGGTTTTTAGTGGTCATCTTCGCCCCAGTGTGCGGGGTGTTCGACAACATTAGACACAAATAACAGCGACCGGGGACCGTTAGCGGGGCTAGCGGGGCTTTGGCGGGGATTTCGCTTTTGAATAGGCCTGCAAAGAACACTGGGAATGCGTATGATCTCAAAATGGCGGCCGCCAACAAGAAGGTATGTACGATTTAAAATCCATTCTTTTCATGCTTGTAATGGGCCATCGATTAAATTCTGTGTTCAATCTCTAAATATTATCATGTCTTGTAGTGAAATTAGAAAAAGTTGGGTATTGTTTATGCCCTCGTCATGCTTGATTAGCGATTTATTTAGAGCGTTGACCTTTTGTCTTTTGGCACTTGTTTTCATTTCCGTTGCAACTGTGCAAACCGAGCCAATGGGCGTTTTTTTATTTGTTGTTTTAAATAACTGTATTTGTTTTTACAGAACTATGTCTTACCAAGAGGAGTAGTGGAAGCCATGATTGTTTCATCTATTTTATGAAGACATTGAAAAAGTTTTTGTAGGAGTTAAATTTGAGGCACAATTCTTGAAATAAATTAATTTTGGTCAACGTTGTGTATTTGGGATTTTTCAAGTATTGCCCCGGGGGCGGAGTACAAAAATGAGGTTTTGACACAAGAAATTGCCCCGCATAGCGGGGAATTTGCTTCATTTAGTTGGGACGCCTGGTCTGGTCTGACTAGTGCATAAATCTGGCTTGAAAACATCCTTTTTTTATCTAGTGTACAATATGTGGCAACGTCTGAATATTTGTATTTTTTTAACCAGGTAATTAATTTCCACTCTTTATTCTCTTTCATTCTAGATTTAAGGTTGGTAAAGCAGAGTGCCTTGGAATATTTAAAACCTAAGTATTGTACAATTCCGATGTAACATTCTTGATTTGTTTTCTTTTTATCGTTCATTGTTGTAATTATTATCATTTTTTTCGACGTCTTAGCAAACCACAATTTTGAGTGTTTCAGTTGTCATCTTAAAACTGAAAAGTAAGATTCGCCTTTGGATAATTTCTAACCACTTCACAGTATTTCACGCGTATCAGCTGCGGTAAATTTTGTACGGAAAACGTGTATATTTGATATTAATATATACCACACAGGTAAATTATGCTTTTCACGCGCGCTGATTAGTTAGTTCGGAAATTATTGGCAAGTATTATTCCCTCGCGCGCAGTCGAAGAGATAAAACCTTGCGTCAAGAGTTTAATTTCCGACTAATTTTCCGGTACATTGTCAGAAACAAACTTATTTTTTTGGTTACTGAATGGTACATAATAAAACTATTATTCATCTTGGTGTCAGTGAAGGTGGTGGATATTTACCTATTTACCTCCACTTTGGTGAACAATTGTTAAATGAATAGATGGTCGAGATTGAGAAACAATATCATACATAAATGCGAGCAATTTACAAAAAGATACATTTAAGTTTTCGGAAAACATCCGCAGTTCTTTCATTGACTAAAATATAATGAAAGAACTGAGCACTTGTACAACTGCACGCGTTTAGAATCATTTTCTTCGATGTTTTTAATCAAAAAGGAAGGAGCTCGAGATTTAAGCCGGTTTCTAAAAATTTAGCGTAATTCAAGATGTCTCCAAAGTATTCAAGGAAATCAAATTATTTTGTTGTCAAATTCCAGCTGTTTAGAGGAGAATTTCCAAAAATATTTCTCAGATCAATCACGAATTTTTCGTAGCAACGAGTTTTAATCCTTTCACCCTCAAGATCTGATTGTTAAATCTCCCCTCCAGCTGCTACATATTCCCATGCAAATTTTTTACCAGAATTTGGTGTTGGTTCACGATTACAACTTTTACCTGATAAATTTGAGTATTCTCATTACCTTTTTGCTGGATAATGTAGGGGTGTTGTTGGGAGAAGCTATATGTCAATCACTTCTGAGGGCAAGATGTTAATAATATCTATAAAAGGTAGTTTCCAAGAAATATTGATTGGCAGACCCAGGGCCTCGCGGATTTTTCAAGTTGGCGATTACAGCAGGAAGGTTGCATTCGAGCAATTCAATTCTGCTTCGGTAGCATTCCTTTAACGGCGGTGAAAAGAATCGCAAATTCTTGGAACTCGAATCTGAAGGGAAACTAATTTCTTGGTACTGAAGTTTTGATGAACAAGCTACTGATTCTTAAAGGACGATAGTGAGTATAAATTTTTTTTACTTTCCAATTTAAGTTGCAAGAAACTCAACCATTTTTTACATGTATTTTGAAAATTCCTCGCTTTGTGTCGTAAACTGATTTAATTAGAACAACAAACCTTCTCTCGCTTACAAAATTATTTTGACTGAAGAACAGTTCGCTTTTGCCTTTTGCCTCGGCGATTGATTTCTTTCCTCGTGTAATATAAACCCAACACATGTAGGCGATACGCTTTAAAAAATGTCAATCTTAACAAGTTCTCTTATTTCGTAACGACATTTTACAAAATCATGACACGCCATACTAGGCACCATTGTTGAATTCAATGAAAAGGCAAGGGAAATATAAGATTTGTGGCTGAGTTTTTATTCAAGTCTTAAATCTGTGTGGCACCAGACAAGATGTTGTTTCCATTCAAACCAAACAGATTTAAATGATTACTTTTTCTCCTTCAGTCGACAAGAAGGCGAACTTTCCACAGAACTATATGTAATGGTTTTCCTATTTAAATAATGTTTAGGGCCAGCGCCGGCCTGGTATAGCAATTCAAGAGGTACGGTGTGCGTGTGAAAATAATTTCAAAAACATCAACTGCATTTACATGATTCAAAGCAGCGTTTATTTGTAATTAACCTTTTGCGGTTCGTTTGCCAGTAGAGGATATTTTCGTTGAGATTGAAATCAACAATTTGACACCTCTTGCTTACCTTCATGACTGAAAGGGTTGCATTTATTAATCACGTTCCATAATTTATGGCCCGTAGCGAAAAAGAACAGAGGTTACCGTCAGAATAATTTAGTGAAATTTAATTTGATTGCAAGTCCCATTGAAAAGTTGAAATTCTTTATTATTTATAACATTAATCAAAGTTTTCACGTAACGGTGAAACAAATTTTAAACAGAAGGATTTCGGTATCTCTGAAAATTGTCTAATCTATGGTAAGGATTTGCTTGCTGTTGTTGAGAACTTCGTACGCTCTTATATTTCAAAATACAATTTTTATCTTGCTCTCTCTCCTTGCTATTGCTGCATGATAGGGCACAAATTTCACTTAAAGAAATTTCTTTCCAGGTCAATGCTCCCTTATCAGAACTTGTGCGTGATTAGCACATGCAATTTTCATCGAAAGGCTCATGATCAGTTCGGAAAAATAAACCTGATTTCTGCGTTGTAACTTTATGGTCAAATCCGTTGTTAAGTGTTTTACTTAGTCTCAGCACAATTACTGAGATTCTGGGAAACTCAGAAATTGGAAAAAGCCCCACAAATAAAACCGGAATTGTATTAAAAACATCGAGATAAACTTACAACTGCTCTAAGCCGCCAGAGGTGAAGGAAAAACATCCCGCGGTAACAACTAAGGATATATTTACGTAAGACAAGAGATTAAAAATCTCTTGTATATAATTTTTTAAAAAAAGTTGAGATCCCGGCGTTTTTATTAAATTATAATGACAGTAATGGATCCTTTTGCTCCATGGGGCCGAGATGGCGCGCTTTTTGCAAAATTGATTTTAACGGAAATGCTTATCACTCTATCTTGTTTTTTCTCTACAGCTTAACAGTCTCCTATATCTTTGGTACCAATGAATGAAACGCCGTCTTTTTGGAAATCAGCCCACATAAAAAATATTCCTTATGAGATTTTCATTAACCTGACTTCCGATCAAAAAATGACGCAGCAAATTCTTTCAGCTGGACAGCACATTTACCTCTCAAATAAACTCTTGACGATTCGTGCTGAAAATGGCTTCTTTGCTATTCATATATGCACATTAACGTCTTCCTGTCCCAGCTGTTCACCTCATGGCTGTTGGAAAATCGAAGAGAAAAGAAATGAATTCATAAGCCAAAACGCAAGAACAAAGATTCTGCTTTCGCTTATCGTTTTACAAGTGTTGCTTTCATAACAAGAAACACCAAAAAACTTGAACTATTTTAAGAGAAAGACAGAGCCCAGCTGTTCAAATTTTTTTGTTGCGTTCATTGCAACCAAATTTGCTGAATCAAGAATAATTCGGTGAAAGACATGCAAAAAGGTGGCATAATATACAATTCTGCATAACAGCATTATGGCGTCGAAAACAGGCCTTTGAAATATTAATCAAAAAATAAAAATAAGGGAATTTTAACCTTTAAATACTTCATTAGTTCTGCTAACCTCTGCATAGAATATATAAGAATTTTGAGTGAAAATTATGTTTCTGATTTATAAAACGTTCGGTCTCGAAAACGAACCACTCCTCCATAATGAAATTATCTTGGAACAATGACATCGAACATGATTGCGCCTGCAAAATGAATACTTGTAAAATTAGAAGATGACCGCTCGACATTTAAAATCTTCTAGATTCAACGTTCACTGTGCTGTCTCCTGTCTGTAAGGGTTGCTGTGACAACAAATGGATTTCTATGAATAATCAGCAAAGTTCTCCAAAGCACGAAATTAAAAGAACCTATTTTTACTTTTATTGCCGGTTTTCAGGTGCCGGATTTTTTTCAGACATGGTCCGCAGTAAAGTACCACTTCAGACTTCATCTGCGTATACAAAAAGAAGACTAATAAGTGCCAGAGACCCACGTGTTGTTTACTCTAGGAAATCAACACGAACACATTTGCCTCGATAGAGACTTTGCTCCTCCAAAACACAAACGGTCACGTACCCATAAGTTTTCAAGCGGATATTTACGTTTTGCCTTCGGGGGACACTCAACTGATCTTGAAAATGTGCTCCGAACCAAATCGAGAAATTAAAGTGAACATTAATCAGCAAAATTACAAAATAATTACGCACGAGAAAGAGAGTTGAATCTAAACTCGCTCAATTAAGGCCTCTCGAGAAATGTTATCTTTGTTTCATATTTTGACTATGAAGAATGAAATGGAGCTAAGGAATTGATTACTTTATCAGACTCTAGTTTTACTGTTCCAAATACTGAAATAAAACATAAATATTGAATAAATAACTTCATCTCTGTCCAAAATACTACCGCAACATGTGCAGGTGTCGACTCTAAAAGAACCGAAGGAAATATAAGTTGATAAAATTTCGCGAAAACTAAAGTTCCTAAACTGTTCGCCTCTTTTTCTTTGAGTTAATTTGACCATTCTTAAGCTGTGCCCTGTGTCAAGTCCAAGTTAAGAGTTCAATCGCGATTTCTCTGGAAGCAAATTGCTCCTACAATTTTATCGACTTCATTTGAACCCGTGAATGGCGATGTCAGCTCTGTCTCTTTTCTTGCATCGTAAAGGTTTGAATTATTGCAACCAGGAGTCAATCACTAAGGCCATGTTGGGACACATTGATTTATTATCAGTAATTTTCAAGTGACCACTGAGACTGCAAACATCTGAGATTGTGGCATAGTGAGTCTTCTCCATTCGTGTAAGCTACCCTACATGGAAAATCGATCATAGATCAAATGATCCGTTCTTTAGAACGTGCGGTATAAAATAAACCAAGGCTATGTTGTCAAATCAAAGCAGTCAGTCTCATTATCTTAGAAACGGTAGTCTAAAATTGCTCATTTTCGCAATTTTTTTTAAAGACCTAGGCGTATTGAATACCTTCCGCTACAAAAATTTAAAGTTACATTTCCTCCTCTAAAAATTAAGAAGGCCATCTGGATTTCATATTAGTTTCCGGCCGGTAGTTAAAATCTAGTGGTTTTACCTTTCGATTGCCATCTTGGTGAAGAATCTTTGAGTTGGACCCACGAAATACAAAGGCCTTTGCTATGAATACATTTACATTTCATCGGATTTGTTTCTTTTGGAATTCCTGGTTGGTTTAAATTCATCAACGCTTGAAGAAGAAGTAAACATGTAAAAAAAGAAAAATTTTAAAAATAGATCGGTTTGGCCAATAGCATATGTGCTATAGCTCATTGCCTCATTGCCTTTAAGAAATCCGGCAATTGGCAATTGTTAAGATTTTTTCTTAGCATCATTTTTTTCTATTTTGCATATACCTTAGTTATATTTTACAATCTTTTATATATAATATTTGATATCCTCGTTATTTATTTATATTTTTTGACATTTAGCTAGGACCTCCCTGAAAATCATGTTTGAATGAGTGGGGCATCCTCATTAAAGATCACTTCTCCTACGTTTGCCAGTTCACCAAAAGCTGCATTTTTAAAACACAATTTTTAAAGCTGACCAAGGGCTTGCTCAATACTTTTTGATTTGTGGATTCGCAACAAATTACAACCGAAGGGTTGCACAGTTATTTGCTGTGCATTTTAACATGAATTGGACACGGTCCCAAAAGCTATGGCTAAAAATGTAATCTGAATTTGACCGCTTTTATATCCATGACAGACAGATTCTGTCAATTCAAAGTTTTCATCATACAGGACAAAATCGCTGTTCTTTCATTAAGGCATATATAAACTCAGAAATTCTATTACTATTTGAAAATATCTGTCTAAATCTTAACTCTACAATGTTAATTAGAGCCGAGATATCAAGAAATAAATAATCAATATCAATTAAAAATTCATACTTGATAGATGTTTAGCTCTTGGACAGGGTATGGTGGCCACAACTTTTACGAAGAAATTAGGATAAGCATTTTGTCGAATTCAATTTGCAGATTATTTCAGATTCTCTTGTATCTTCCAGAGCCTCTTAGAAGGGAAAAATTTTAGTCGGTACCATGTAGCATGTAGATATTACTAAATTAGGCTTTGATAAATGCTAAAATCCTTTTTCTCCGAGACACTTAGAGATTATTTTTTCTCTCAACCACTGGCAAACAGATACTGTCATCAAACCGATTTGAAATGAGTTAGTTTGATAACGTCACGCGACGTCACGTGACGTGTCCACCATCTTTAATTTCAACTGGAAACTTGGACAGACCCTGGGAACTAATTGTTTTTTTAATATCGTCTTCCACTCTATCTGATGTTTTAGACACGTATTGTAAAACTTTCATTAGTGTCATAAGCTGTGCATTGACACAAATATATAGTTTGGAGATCCGGATTGAGTTGAAATATAAAAGCAGTTGATAACTGACAGTGCTTAGTGCTACTGAGAAATTATTTACATCAGATACACATTGAGTTCTTGTGCAGACGTGGAGGTATTTTTCTGCACATCACGTACGTTAGGTCCATACATATAGAACAGGCTGTTTACGCAGTATGACGGTGCGGTTTTTAAAGGTAGAAAAAGCTAAAGGGGATTAAGACACCTCCTGCAATTTCTTATTTGATGAAACTGTTTCGACTTGAGGTTCGAATTTTTAGATGTGATCACCGATATTTTTGACTAAATTTCCTACATTTCAGACAGCGTCAACTCATAAACTGACGGATGAAACTGGAAAAAAATGGAAAAAAGCTTTTGTCTTGTGACCTTATCTCGTGCCCCATTTTGTTCACTAGGTCAAGGTAACGTCGCATAAATCATGCCAATTACTGCAACCAGAAAACGTGCGGTCAGGCACAAGTCTGCAATTATGCAAAGAATATTACAGAAAGTATATTTTAAGTTCCACCCGGCCTTAAGTACGTGAGGGCGTAAATAATACGATATAGATAATGCACCTTGCTTCAAAACAGGATGTTTGACTATGATTAACACTGTGAACCAGCATCACTGGGTCCAGCGCTAACGTACTAACCGCGATCCATTCAGTTGTTGGATGCCTCTGTGCTCAAGGTACGCATACAAGCCTCTTACTAGGTTAGTATTGAAGAATTGCTCTGAAAGCCGGTAAAAATCAAAGATTAACAGCAACGTGGCTGCGGTTAGGCTAGGAGCTCCCTCACTGTGAACTAACTTACATTTCTTGCTCTCGTTCAGTGATTGAATAATTTGAAGGTATGTCTCTATTGGTCAAAAAGGACGATATCAATTTGTGCTCGCTCAGGCCTAAAATCCTTAAAAAAAACCTTTTGTAAAGAAATCGGAAAACCTTCCAGAAACATCACGGCTTTTGAACTTTGTTACTTGTTATTCCACATTGCTTCCCGCATATAATTTTCATTCAGACAATACGAATTGTTAATTGCAGTAAATAACCTCTTCAACCTGATGGCAAATACCCTTGCAATTGCTCTTACTCCTTTTTGGCAAATATAAACCACAAGCTGCTAAGTGAAACTTTGCGAGAAGGCCAAATCGAAATTGTTTATTTTTGACGCTGGATTAAATTTCCTGTGTATTATAATACGCATTAAGAAATTTATTTCAAAATACATGAAAGTTAAGCGATAATTTCATATTCGTGACCAAATGCTTCTCTTAATAGATCTAATAGTTAATGGTGAAATAAAAAGTGTGTGAGATAAAAATTTTTAAACTGTGAACGCTAGAGGGGAAAGACATCATGACCTATGATATGAACTAGTAACAAATTAGATTAGAAGACAATTTGGCAAGTTTCCTTAGGGTCCTTTTAAGCTCTTGTCACAGTATTTATTGAGGAATTCCAACCATGGCCTGGCCCTATTTCAAGAGCGAGCTCAAATTTCAGTCTTTAACCTTGTTTTCAGGGATATCACATCTTTTTTTGCTAAGAAAAACACACCTCACGTGCGCACGTGAGAATCACCACGCGAGAGTAGTAAACAGTCACATTTTGTCTCGTGCGGAAATTACAGCCACATTTAATCACGTGCGGAAATTGAAAATGAAAAGTAACATCCAATCTTATCGATTCCTTTCCCAGAAAGCATTTGTCAATCCCATGAAAGTTGCAAGACCTCGGAAGATTGCGGAATTAGCGATAAGAAATTATTACAATAATTGTGAAATGAAGATTAATAGCTCAGTTGCTACAGAGATAATCAACTACGCCTTACATATGATACATGAATGAAAAAAAAAAAGAATAATTGGCGTGCAACAAGATTTTTCATTTTACTGCGTGGTCTATCTCTGTTTCTTTCCTCAGAAACATATCATGCATAATGTTTTCGGCATCATCTCCTAACACCGGGCAAACAATGTAAATTGTCTCCATAGCGTCTTGGTAAACAGCTTTCAACATGGAATAAAAGGATCATTAAGCACGCGTTGGAATTCTATGGCCTCGGAGCATGTCAAATCAAGTTTGGGCGGTCTCGACCGCTTATACCCGCCCTAGTGGCCTCGGCGAGAGTACCGAAAAATTATTTGACGTCATAAATCTAAACGCGCCCCGTTGATTGGTCCACCACTGTGTAGATAAGCATCTAGCTCGGTCTCGAAAATATATGCAAGGGCTGAAGGACCCTATTTTGCCCTCTTTTGAAACGATATTGGGCGGTCAAAGCTCATAACTTAAATTTCAAATAGCATTCTCCGTTGAATTTGGCGAAAATTCTCTCAATTCGTGTAATTGTTACTTCAAAATCAATTTGACAAAAAAACAGCAAAGTGCAAAATAGATTACTTCGTCATTTTCACGTATCATGCAGGCTAAAGACACGGTCTGTCAACTGACGTCATAATCTTATTTACAATCTATGAAAGGCTTCCGAAATCTTTAACTAACCATTAACTCTTAAAAGTTATAAGGTAAAAGGAAAGATGTTCCGGGCCGTTGAGATGTTTTTGCACTTCCTTTGTACTTTTTATGATGAAACGTCGTATAAATTTTCTTCTTTCACATTTTCACAGTAAATACCATAAATGACTTTCAAAAGGGAATTTGTGAGAACAACTTTGACCCGGATACAATAGTATTACTATGGTAATTTATTAAAATATATTCAAAGCACGTTTTCAAGTTTTCAAGACAGCAATGCTACTACGTCTCTCATCCAAACACATCACGCTATCGCACAATCCGGCTTCAACGGAACAAATTCACAAAAGCTCTAAACCAACAGCGATTTAGTAAGTGTCTTATCACTCTTTCGCTATTTTGAGAGCGTATTTCTTTTTACAGCTCTGTTATTTGCTGCGGATGAAAATTAGAGTGGGTAATAATTTCGCAATGGTGAAGATTGTAAACCAATATTTTGCCTCGATTTCGCAGAAACCCTCCGCCGTATCTTACCGCGGGGACGGATTCAACAGAAAGATTTTACGAAGATAGTTTTCAACCCGGGATCACCTTTAAGCAAAGAGGAATTCTTGCACAATCCTTGGCAGAGATTCGAGACTGTGTGGGAACCTTTGGAGCAAGCAAATATATCGACAACAGATCACCGGACGAAGACAACAACATCCGTTCATAGAGGAATGGCTAGCAAGGCAGTCAAAAATAGGTTCGTTTTGTCTGCGCTTTCTTTGTCTTTATATTAGAATTAGCTATCACGCATTGCGATTTGTGACTCTCGAGGGAGTAGTAAGGATTTAAATTGTTTAGAAATAATAATTTTTGTCACATTCGTGAGTAAATCTTAAGTCATTATTCACTCCAGGCGCCTGACACTTCGAAGATTGATCGTCAATTAGTATGACACCTAAAAGTTTTCCTTGCTTGTATCAAACACGCAATCGAACTAATTTTGGTGCATTTTTTTTGCTGCGTAATGTCTGGCATGAAAGAGATATTACTAAATCAACTATCTCGTCCTGTGTGGTTCGAAAGTGATTTCTGTTACGCAAATATAACACGCCATCGTTTCCTTCAAAACTCGCCATTGCTTCTTTAACAAGGCCTTAAATAACACGTAGGCGATTGTACTTTCACATAGTGCACTAATTGTTGTGAAAAACCAAAGTGCTTTCGATTGTCGATGAAATCGAGGAAATACTAATTTGATATGAAGTTTATTAAACGACCTGTGCACAAATTTAGGTGGACTTCGGTAATTTTAATGTTTGTTTGTCCCAACCAGTGGTCTGATTGGTGATTGCATCGTAATTATTTGTTTGATGTGCATTTATTAGCTCGCAAACGTTTACTGTGCAAATATTGTTCGTTTAAGAGCGTTTCGGAAGGTTATATCGAGTTTTTTTCCCCTTTTCTTTGGTAATTGCATCAGAATTAGGTAGACTTCGTGAAGCGAACAGTTGCATCGTTGTTTATCGATAAACCATGATAACTGTCCATGAGGTCGAATGTTGTTTTCTATTTTCATTATCTTGCTATAATAATCTTTTTCTGAGCTATTTCTGTGATGCTAACACTTCTACATATACCAGCTGCTATTTATGTCTTACAAGTGTTACTTAATTACCATATTTTTGAAGGATGTTTTACAATCTAGTACCTTTTGTTAGAGGTACCAATTTCGAAAGATCTACCAAAAGGCAAGTTTGTTACAATTGTGTAAAATCAAATTGTCCTGTTTTAGGCCAGATTAAAATCCAGAGTCAAAACCTGCCTGAAAATAGATTCAATGTAGCTGGGCAAAGCTCAAAATCTTGGCCCATTCTTGCTGAGATTACATGTACCTTAGCAAGAGATAACCTTCCTCCTAATAATTTTGGTTACATTCACAACCTGTTTGCTGGATAATGTTTGGATATTACAGGGAGAAGTAACATGTTAATCACTCTGCAGACTGAAAGGGTTAATCCCTTAACTGTTTGTCACTCTCTTAAACAGCGAGAACCAGAAGAAGAGAAGATCACGTGATGCAGCACGATCCAGGAGAGGACAGCAGAACGATGAGTTTGTGGAGCTTGCCAATCAGCTGCCACTGCCCGCAGGACTTTCATCGCAGCTTGACAGGCTGTGCATCATGCGGCTGGTTAATAGTTACATTAAAATGAAAAACCTTCTTCAATCTCTGGTGTCCCAAGGTAAGGATTTTATCCTCACAGTTTCAAATATTGGCAACTTCCAGCTATTCAAAATCATGCTGTTTAAATTAATTGCTCTCATAAATTGTTTCAGACATGAAGAAGATTGTGTCTCTCAATGTAGCAGATACCACAGTATATGACAAGGCATCACTGGAGGTAAGCTTGGCGCCATTTTAGCATCTCACCACCTCATGCTACAGATGAGCTTTCAATTGGCAGTAACAAGCCTCAAGATCTGTTGGGACTTTAAACCTGATAGTGAACTAGGAGAATTAACTCTCATATTAAAAAACTTACCATATTCTGTATGTCTTTAGGCACTAGATGGGTTTGTCTTTGTTGTAACACCAGATGGCCAGTGCATTTATGTGTCAGATAACATCACCCATTACATGGGACTCACACAGGTAAATTACCTTACCTTAAACTGCTAAGATCTTATTTTAAATTCTCCCCACTGGTTACAATATATTTCTTTATTAAACAGTTTAAGAGAATTTAATCACCACCTAATTACTCTGCCTATTTTGATTACCTTTCTGCCACATAATGAATTATTGTGGAGAAAGAATTGTGAGTGTAAGCCCTTTGTCAGAGCTGGTTAGCCCTTCTCTTTTCACTCTGGCAAAGGGCTAATATAGAGGTTAGTCACTGAACTATTCCTAACATTTTAATCTACATAACCTAACTGGCCAGGTGTCAGTATTATGGAAGACTTAAATACAACTCCATTGTGTTTTTTTTTCCTGGACAGATTGAAGTAACTGGTAACAGTTTCTACAAATACATCCACCCCTGTGATCATGAGGAACTTTCCAATCAGCTTGGTGGACAGATCCCTCTTGAAGATATGGAAATCTTCGATGGCCTGTTTTGTTCTGATTCTGTCTTTATGATGAGCAATCACTTGAAGGGTGGATCCAAAAAATCCATGCACGAGAACCCTCACAAGTCATTTTTCTTGCGCATAAAAAGCACATTGACAAGCAGAGGAAAGAATGTTAACCTTCGAGCCTCAACTTACAGAGTAAGGCCAAAATCTTGATTATCAAAATGAATGGGTAGACTAATAAATACTGCCTTTTAAAATAACTGTTCTTTACCTTTCTCTCAAATGGTCACACATAAGGTTTCATCTACAGAGCCAAAAGTCTTGTGCATGAAAGTACTGCTCAATGACTTTCATTTTAGGGTTAATCACTTTAAAATTTATCATGTCAACCAAATGGTCGTAGCCTTACAAAGAGATTTTTGGCTAAATCACTGTCATACACCTTAACCCTTTAAACCCTTAGAGTGACCAGCATCTAGTTTCTCCTTACAATAATACTGCTGAATCATTGATTTAAGATCATGAGAATAAAGGAAATGATCACCAACTAAAAAAGCTCTTGATTGTTAAACAAATTCTCTTTGTCAGTGCCTTAGGAAATGTATAGAGAACAGTATGGAGAATATGCATACTGATGTTGGGGTGTAAAGGGTTAACATTAATTTATGGGTATTCTCCATTATACAACAAGCAGACGTTGTTTGACAGTCAACAGCTTCTTTGGCCAGTGATCATTTCCTATATTCTAATAACTACTGTAAGGAGAAAATTTATTCTAAACTCTCTTAGAATTTAAAGATTAAATGCTTGTTTTGTTGAGTTTCTCTCTTGCATCTTCAGGTTGTCCACTGCACTGGTTGCATGAAAATGTCTGTGAAAGTCTCAGAGTCAGGAGAAGAGGAGAAGGTTCCATTGTTTATGGTCGCCATCGGAGTTCCACTTATGTTCACATCCACTTTTGAAGTTCCACTTGACAGAGCCACCTTTACCAGCCGTCACAGTCTTGACATGAAATTCCTGTCATGTGATGACAGGTGGGTGTATGTAATTAATTGAAAGCACGCCATCATCACCTTGCTTTTGCAGTTTTTCAATTTTTGTCCTCTTCCCAAGCTTGTCTTATTTACAAACTCATTCTTTGCAGAAGAAACTTAATCTTACCCTGTTTGAGTGTGAACATTTTTATCTAACATCACAGATCAATTTTTTTTTGGTGTATACGGAAGCTTCTCTATTTTAGTTTTTCACTGCTATTGGTTTACAGGAAAAAAGAAAAACCAAGATGTTACATCCTGCTTGAGCTTTTGATTTGTGGTGCAGACAAAATAGTTCATAGTCTGGGATAAGATTGAGTGAAACTTTGGCAATTTGCCTGACACAATCCTTGAAAGTTACAGCCCTTTTTTTTAGCTCTCATGCCATGTCCAATGTTTCCACCTGCTGAAGATTTTTTTTCCCTCTCCAGTGTTGCAGACCTCCTTGGTTTCACACCAACAGAGATTGTTGGCAAGTCCTGGTACCACTTCCAACATGCTTGTGACTTGGACACAGCATTAGCATGCCACAAGACTTGTAAGTAATCTCAACAACATTCTCCTCCCTCTCCTCAAGCTGCTTTTCATTCAAACTTTTTCTGATACTTGTAACATGTGCTCTGTTCAATGACATGCCAGCTGGAAAGGCCAATTTTGAAAAGAGCGCAGGTGTAAGGTTTTGTTAGCTGTTTCACTACTATGAATGACCAGCATCTGAGTTCTCAAAACACATTCAGGTTATGAGACTAAAGGAAATGATCACCAACTACAGAAGCTCTTGATTTTTACACAAATTCTCCTTGTCAGCACCTTAGGAAAGGTATAGTGAACTGTATTAAGAATATGCTTGCTGATGTTAGGATTTAAAAGGTTAAATAGCCACTAATCAGGAACTGAGCCTGTTTGAAACAAAAATCAGGTTTGAAAAAGCAGCAATAATCACGCCTTAAAAAGAGAACAGTTATAGATAAAAGTTTCTATTAACAATTTTATTTCACTTTATTTCAGTGCTGACCAAAGGCCAGTCTGTGAGTAAGTACTACCGCTTCTTACTTCGCAATGGAGGATGGGTGTGGCTTCAGACCAAGGCCAACATTGTTTACGACAGTAAGACATGTCAGCCACAGTTTGTCCTCTGCACAAATTACATCATCATGTAAGTTACCAAGAGGATTGATTTTAATAAATACTTTTTAATGGAGTAGTGATTAGCTCAAGAACACAGCAGAAGTATATGGGTACACTCAGAGTGAAGGGGAGTGGTGTGGCAGATTTCTAATGTACTCTAGGAATTCTCTAAGTATGTTGTCACACGCTGTTTGGGAGATATCTGCTCCCTTAAAAAATGTCTATCTATTATCAAGATCGTCCTTACATAGTGTCTCTTTGAGACAATAGCTGTGAGACTTAAGACCTGTCCACTAAGCCCACCATTGTGGGAAATGTCTCTAAAATTTAGTGCGCCTTTCAACTCATAAAATTAACTGCTGTAAAAGGGGCATCTCCTTCAGTATATTGTGAGCAAAGTTTACTCAGACTTATCAGTTGTAATCTTCCTAATTTTTTCAGGAGAGTTGACGAGAAGGAGTACATACTGTCCACAGAACAAGTCAACCCTGTACCTGCACCTCTAGGTCTTGATCTAGTGGTTAAGAAAGAATGTGAAAAAGGAAGGGGCACCAGAAGAAAACATTCCATTGTGCTGGAGGAACGTACAAAGGTGCTGAAGGCAGCAGCGCATGAACAGCGTCCAAGTGCAGATGTCAAACCAAAGAAGGAGAGCAACCTTAATACCTGCTGTATGAAGACACCTGCAAAACAGGCAGCAAAGAAATCCTGTCAGTGTCTTGAGGGTGTTGACTGTGACCACATTAATTTTCAGGTGAGCTGGGCCTAGAAAATGCAACATTGTCTATTGTTTCTTGTGAAAGAACCTTGGAGGCTTATAGACTGAACACTCCACTGTGTCCAATAAAACCTTAGTGCTTACCAGATCCACCTCACGAAAATGATTTAGTATATATTTATCTTTATTTATTCTTGTGGTTGTCAGGAGTTCTTTCCAGTGGCATGGGACACTAATGATGACCTCATTGAGCAACAAAAGGAATATGAGAAGCTGCTGCAAACACACTATGGTGTTACTGATGACACACCCAGTCCCACCCACTTGGAAAACAGCACCACTGAAAATAGAGTCCCCTACATTCCTTCACCAAGTAACGACCAAAATATTGATAAAGGAAAAGTAGCAAATGAGGAGGAGGAAAATTTTGACGAACGTGCTCCATTCATTCCACTTTCAATCATGGACTCAGAGTTGGATTGCGATGATGATTTATTGGTGGAAATTCCTTTCCTTGATTCACCCATGATACCATCACCCTCATCGTGGCTGCTAAATGCAGATGAAAGTATCCCATCTCCAGGAAGTGCTGTTATGCTACCTCCAGCCAAGCCTCTATCTTACAACCGTCGTCCAAGTCTGTCTAACTCATGCTCACCTGTTTTGAGCAGAAAGGAGATCCCTACTGCCATCAAACGCAATGGGTATGTGACAAACGAGATGGCCCACAAAGGGAAAGCACTGTTTCCAAACATCAGTACATGGGAAGCTGAAGTGAATGCACCAGTTCAGAACATTAATCTTTTGCAAGGTGAAGACCTGCTTGAAGCTCTTGAATGTGGTGACTTCTTGTGAGCTTTGGCTGGTTAAGTGAAGCAAACTGTATGTCTCATCTAGGAGTGACAACAGTTAAAGGACTTATTTCAATTATTTGTAGGTTATACTCAACTTTATAAGTTCATTGCATTTAATGTCTGATTGTAATGCAAAATGCAATTCCAGTAACCTTTGTCAGGGAACATATGTCATCACATCACATTTATTTAGCTTTAAGTTTGGAATTTGTTTGTTTGTTTGTTTGTTTGTTTGTTTGTGTGGTGATACGAAGGCAAAGTGGTAAGCCTTGTGGACTCCGAATAGAGAGATTCGAGCCCTGGCTCAATCCCCGTGTTAAGTTCTCGGACAAGACTTGTTAACCTCACAGTAACCCTCTCCACCCAGGAGTATAAATGGGTACCAGTTAGCTTTCCTCAAAAAGTGAGGAGGACTGGGGGATAGCTGCTAAGGACTTAGATCCCATGCCATGTTGATATACTACCAGTTACCTCATACCATAGAAACCAGGGATAAACAGCTATAGTACCACAGTTTTGAGCCTCTTGGTCCCAAGATTTAACAATAGCTTTTATTTCCTTATGGATAACCAATACAGTTATGCAATTGTATAAAGTATAGACAAACTTTTGGCAAGTTGATTGTGTTGTTTGGCACTGAACATAGTTTTGGCATCTTTTGACGTGTTTCCCCATACATGTGGCAATTTAGAAGGCAACTTGATAAGATAAAACAATCTTAAAAATTTGTCTCAAGTTTAGGACAAAGGATATCCGTAGCAAGTTCTTATTCAGAATTTGATGCTGGTTGCATTTGTAGAGAAGTCGTCATAAACCTTGTTAAGTGGAAGTGTCAACATAATTAACACTGTGAGTTTTTGATTCTGGCAACAAGAAGCATACTGCATCAAAACATTCTTCCAAGCTCCCTTAAAAAATTTTTGGCTGTGCCTCACAGACACCAAGGTGGTAAATGAGGAAACTTCTAGAAGGGTAGGGCTTATTTCTGAACAGTGGCTGGTTATCAAGTCTAAAATTGTTCAGACCCTTCGGTTTCCAACAAAAGACATTGTAGCTTGACTTGGAAGGTTTAACTAGTGCTAAGATTGTCCTTGCAGAGTGGTACAGTAGTTAAAACTGTGTGTATAGATTCAATCATAACAGTATTAGTTTAAAAAAAGAAAAATGTAGTATTTCATAGTTAACATTTGTAGCTTCAAAATTAGTTGTAGAGCATAACAAGATTTTATCTATACAGTGTATCATTGAGTGCAGTACATGCCTAAGGTTGGGTGCATTGTGTGCCCGCTTTGTTTTCTTTGTTGCGGCTTGCTCATGTACCCCACTGATTGCTTGATTGCTCATTTGACCTTGTGTCAGTTTCACTGTTAGACTAGTACAATAATCAAATTTTACAAAGATCTGCATCACGAACTTTGTATTGATTACAGTGTTGCATATTTCAATGCCATTTCTGTTGGTCTGCAAGCCTAACTTGCAGAGGTGTGTGAAAAAAAAAACTGACAACTTCGGTAAACTTCTGGAGAGCCTTACATCTTTGAATTCTTCATCATTAAAATTGATAAATAAAGATGCTGGTGTCATACTCTTGAATAAAGGGAACAAGTGTCTAAAGAAACTGTAGTGCTGCTTTGGTGGGAGAGTATAACAGAGTAATTTGGTATTATCAAATCTCTTTTGCTCTGACGAAGGGCTAATGCTCAAATTGTCATCTTTGAAACTCCTCGTGGTGGCCAATTTACGTTATCAACTCAGTTGATAATACCAAATCACCCTGTAATACACTTATTGCAAAGATCACAATGTCCTACAGGATTAGGAACTCTGAAATCCACTCCTACAATTGCAACCATAAGATGATTTTCCAGCCACCCTGCCACAAGCCAGAAACAAAAATCTTCTATCCCCTTAAAACTATTTATCTTTCTTCATTGAAGCCCTCATTTGGGAACTCAATGGTTTCACTAAATCATCTTTTTTGCACAAAACCATCACATTTCTTTCCTCAAACCTGAAGCAGAAGTTCAATTAGTTCTTATAGATCTTGTGGGAAATTCATTCTGGGCTGGGTCTGTTGTCTTTTGTAAGATCATCAAAACTGAACTGATCCACAATCATTCTACAAGTATCTGATTAGCCTAAAGTAATATCTGAGAAAGTAATTCCTATTCAGAAACAACTGAAACACTTTTAAAAAGATTCTGAACTGGATTGTCAGACATTTGAGCTAAAAAATGTGTGGGTTGATCCAACAGGTACTTTGCAAGCAATTTCAGCAAAATCAGTCCTTCCTTCATCAATACCTTTACTAGCCCCCCTGAAACAAGTTCCCATCTTGTCAACCAACCTCCATAGCTCTGCCCTTATTTTGCACTCCCTTGGAAAACTAGCAAATTTCTATGCTCTAAAACATCTCATGCTGCCAATTGTAACTGCTTTTGAGTTTAGCTTGAGAAAATCATATTACAGTCAACTTAAATCTTAACAAATGCGTTCCATGTTTCTGCATGTCAGTTCAGTAATAGATCAAAGATGATGTAAAAAAATGGTAAGAACAAAAAAAGAAAGTGGCAGCACATGAGGCACAGTCAAGTGTGACACATGTTCTTTCAGAGACTTTACCCCTTAAACTCCCATGAGTGACCAAGACAGAATTTCTCCTTACAATATCAATACAACATCAAGAAGACAAGTGATGAGAATCAGGAAAAGTATCAACTAGGGGATTATTAGTTGATCCAGCAACAAATTCTCAGAAGTAACATCAGAAGAATTGTATAGCAAACAGTAAGGATGAAATCTTGGGAGTTAAGGATCATGTAAAAAGAAATCTCATTGAGGTAATGAAACATACCCATTTATTGACAGAAAATTTGCCGATAAGTTAATCTTTCAAAGTGACATTCTTTCCAAGTCTTTTCTCCTTTTCTCTAAGATCTTTCAATACAGGAATGTCCTTTAACATTTGAGGTGTGACTTTTGACCACTGAATTCCAGCTGAGCTCTGTGTATGTCCTTGGCAATGGATAACCCTTGTGGGTGTTACAATGTAGTCTACCTACATGTAAACAGCAAAAGAATGGTAACCACTTTGTACTGAAGCCATTTCTATTGGATGTTTGTAGGGTAGTTTACTCAGTGAACTTAACTTTTTCATAATGCAGAAAAAATTCTGTCAGGCTTCACTGACAGTTGGCTGCAACCCATTTCTACTCCTGCTGGGTGGAGAGAGGTTCATGTACTGCAAAGGTGAATTTTTTTGCCTAAGAACACAGCACAATGATCAAGCCAGATCGAAAACCCAAACCACTTAAACCTGAATCCAGCCCACCAACCACTAAGCTAACATATTTCCACAAAGTAACCATACTAAAGTAAATACTAAAGTACACAACAATAATGGTGAGGCAGGTTAGGTCTGTTCTTGAGCCAAGTTGTCCCATCCAGTCTGAGCTTGTATTGGTTTTTGTAGCATGAAGCAACAAAGAGTATTAGAGCGACCCTCCAGAATTTTAACCAACTTCCTTGACATTTTGCTAGAACCCATTTATACTTTTGGATGAACAGAGTTACTATGAAAGTAAATTGTTTTTCCTGAACTTCAACCTCAATCCCCAGTCCAGTGCAATAACCCAACGGCCACCACATCTCCCACAAGGAAAAATAATGCCCATAACATATTATCAAACTCAAGAAAACTAAAAGAGATAATCATTTAGTGGCACTCTACCCATTTTAAAGCCAATTTTTACCTCATTTGATCTCACGACACCAACTTTGTTTAAACAAAAAAATAGAGAATGTCTACTTTACCATCAGATCATGTTCATCCGTCAACTCATCTGGAATATCCACTACCTGACAATCATGGACAGTAGACACCACAACTGTGTCTTGATTGACTGCTCCCATGGAAACCATCATGGCATATTCCATATCAGCATATCCCTCACCTTTGCCAATACGATAACCTGTTGTAAGATATCAAATGAGAACAAATACTATTGCATTTCCACCAGGATGAGTCAGCCATAAAAATAACAACTTCTCCTATTCCAACTAATAAGTGAAATATATCACAGGTATCAGATGTCACTCAAATACAATTGTTCTTGACAGCCCCAGGAAGTTTAACACTTTGACTGCTAGGAGTGATTAGCATCTAATTTCTCCTTACAACTTAATTAACAAGAATAAAAGAAATGATCACCAACTAAAGAGGCTTTTGATTTTTATACAAACTCTCCTCATCAGCACTTCAGGAAATGTATAGATCTAGTACAGTGTGAAGAATATACATACTGCTGTTGGGGGGTTAAGGCAGAGAGTGATGAATTGTGAAAAGCTTTCAAAACACTGCTCAAAAGTCCACCAGATAGCTTTATCCTTCCCCCCCCCTTTTTTTTTTATTCAGGTTGTCACTTGTCACACTGGTTCTAAGTATTGTCTGATCATTCACAGGACTCTGAAGTGGTCTCTAACCATACCTTTGGAAGACACAGCCACAGACCCAATCACAATAAGATCAATAGTGATCTTATGTTCCAATCCCACAGGTGCGCTGTAATGAGTAATACCTTCCCTGGTCGCACACTTCTTCAGTATTGCAGTATTAGCCCCTGCCGGGGGCAAAATGCGGTTGAATAAACCAGTTTTTAACCGTGGAGTTGGGACAAGCAACACTTTTCCCTCCTCTAACGTCTTGTATCTCACCCATTCTTGCGGCTTGTCTGGGTTCACTTTAATAGTTTTTGCTTTCTTGAATATATCCATGGCAACGACTTTTTCGCCTGCCGCATTCGCACCCTTAAAATTTGGGATTCGATGGTGAACTGGTCGTGGAAAATTCGCCAAATTGTTTCTCTCTATATGGTCCCATATATGTTGGCGAATTGCAGCTTTTGTCTTGATATTTGGAGCTTCAGCACTCATAACGGCTCGCCAAAGTGTAATTATGCTCTGAATTGGAAGTTCGGTTGCGTGGAATTTCATCCCACAGTATTAAAAGTACCCACATTTAAACTTTGCGCAGTGACCGCCATTTTGGAATTGCAAATTGAGTGTTACTGGGATCTAATGTCCAGCCACACACATCGAGGAGACAAGGGATTGGTGTCATTCCAAGTTGCCGTGCGTCTGTTCAGTAATAGATCACAGATGACGTCAAAATGTGGTAAGAACAAAAAAGTGGCACACGAGGCACACAGCCAACACATATACGGAAAAAAGTTTTAATGATGACGTCATCTATACGTCTGTCCTCCTATAGATCATAAGTGAGAACCAATCAGAATGCGTGTATAACTGAGCTTATTATATAATGCGCGGTAGACGATTGTGGTGGCTTTGATGTTCACTACCGATTAATCAAATGATTAATTTTGTAAATTTACCATAATTTTATTTCAACAAAGCCCCAACAGTGAGAGACCAAAGAGAAGATGAGCCTGTTTATAAGACAATTATTCCATGAGCGCGCGTTGGATATGAGATGATAGAAAGCCAACATGGCCAGCGGGACCGAGTTCCATATGATCATATTCGTTTTCATATTCATATATGATCATATCATATCTAACAAGCGCAATAGGAACAATTGTTTCATTGAAAATTTCCCAAAATATAGATAAATTTTCCTAACTTTATTTATAAGAACAAACGCAATGTTACGAGTACACGAACCATACTTGTAGAGGCATGGTATTATGGCTCATAACCCACATAAAACTCTTGAACTGCACTATCCAATGATCCAGTTTTTAATAAAAACAAATAAACCACTCCCAGCTGAGCAAGAGTGCAGAAGCATCCGAGTATTTACCCAGAATTTAGAGCAAGAAAAAAGGTTCTTGGAGAGACGGTTTTGGTTCCGACTTCCTGAACAGCGGGCATCTTGCTGATATTCCCGCTTGCTGAGATTTCGCCCGGTTTCCCAACGGGATATTGCCACAGTTTACACCGGGATTCCGGGTGGCTTCCCGTCTTGCTGCGATTTACCGGCAAGCATGGTGACTGGGATATAAGAAAATAACCTTTTGTTCCGATCTAACAAAAACTTTAGTCTGTATCACTAAAAGATGAATATCGGTGGGGCAACAAGGCTGCTGTTACGACCCCTTTGCTGATGTTCCCCTAACACGAAAGACAAACATGAAGAGTCAAAGTTTACTTTTGCGGCTGCTCGCTATGTTCCTTGCTGCTACGCAATGCTAATAAACCCAATACGTAGATCAAAACAACTTCACGCAGTTGCATCATTACTTTCTGTTCAACTGCACCTCGTCTTGGTTATGTTATGTTTCTATAGCTACATTAGAGGACTCATTATTTAGCTGTTTGCATATGTTTCTGCTTTTTCACCACCTCACCAGTTCATATTGCGCTCCCTACTTTTGTTTCTTTGACGGGGCGGATGTAGATGTTCTCAAATGTTTATCAATATATTTAACTTGAACGATGTTAAAAAAAAAAAAACTCTGATAACAAGTTTTTACTCACGATAACTTGACTTGAGAAATCGGAAATCGGTGAACTCATTGGCGACAGAGAATCTCACGTTTCTGAAAGTTTATCTCTTCGACAAATCATCTGTTCTGTCACATCGACAATACAATTCGACATAAAATTGAATGCGCAGAGGTGAGAAAACTTGTTTGCAGAGCAATATCTTTCCTAATGCTTTTTCCCCAATCTTGACGTCACCGTGTTTATTCACCGACAAACGCACTCAATATTTAAATTTGGTCGAATGGCCCGTCGAATGGAAAGAAACTTTTGCACTTTGAATATGCAAAAACAAAGGAAGCAGCTGCTCTGATATTAAGGCTTCGTAGATTAGTGCTTTTTGGAGGTTTTACTCCAAGCGCTTGTAAGTAACTCAAGCAGTGTTTCCCTGAATCACTTGGAATTGGAAATATTCTAACCTGTAATCGAGCGGTGATTCTTTCATGGATATATCGTCAAATAAGGCCGACAAATTCACTGAGCAAAATGGCAAATGACTTTAATATCGATGATCTTTTTCGCCAAGTTTGCGTTCAATTCTAAGAGAGGCTGATCGCATTCAACAAGAACATGGTTGTCACGGAACGGAACAACACCAGCGAAACTTTCTGGTGCGAGTCAGTGCCTCAGGAATCTTCTAAGGAAGTTTTTGCGTTTCTAATAATAACTTTAATCCTGTGTGTTTTGGGTAATAGTGCAGTTTGTATTATAGTTTCACGCCATTACCAGTTACACACTGTGACCAACGCAAATTTCGTGAACATGGCCGTAATTCAAATGCTCTTCGCATTGTTCTCCATTCCGCCGTATCTGCAACTATCAAATTCAAGGTCTGAAGTGGAAAACATTGAATGGCTTTGCGTTCTCATTGGATTTACTTTTGAGCTTTTTTCAGCTCTTTCGAACCTAGCGTTAACTCTTGTCGCTGTGGAACGCTATTATGTTATCAGCAATTCGGGCAAGAGGAAAATTTCGGCCAAGACTACGGGAAGACTTGTAGTCTTTGTCTTCATCTTGGCACTTGCTTTTGCGGTTTCATGGACAGTTCTGGCAGAAGGCCCGAGCCCATGTTTGACTTCTTCAATCTTGTCGTGTTTTCCTCTAATAAGCGCTCATAAAACGAAAACTTTACGAACTCTGAACATCATTTACGTTACGATTTGTTTTTTCCTTCCTATGCTACTAATGGCTGTATTATTTGTGAAAATGTCCAAATTACTTTGGAGTGGATTTAGCAAGGTACGACCTCTTGGAGTTGGAAATCGAAACACTATTCGCTTCTTTGCTGAAATCAAAACAACAAGGACAATGTTCTTCATATCAATTCTTCATTTCTTCTGCTGGCTGCCACTTTGCATAATTTCCATTTATTTATCTCTTCCACGTAAAACCAGCGAGCTTTATCCAGGATCAGCGACAGCAAAAATTGTTACAATTTGTCTAGCGCTAGTTTCCTCTTGTGCAAACCCTTTGATGTATGCGCTACGAAATCCGCGATTTAGTATAATTCTTAGACCGAATAAAAGGTCAAAAGGAAAGAAACGGGTTCAATTTTACAAGGAACAAGAAAATTGCGAAAGCTGTATTGCGAAGACACCTGTATCTTGGGCACAAAGATCAATTTGTTCGGTTATATATGACGGGAGTAGAAGCGACGAAACACACGCGACATCTTCAACAGTGCTGTCGTAAACACTCGAGTATAAGGACATTCTCTGACGTTGAAATGAGAGCAACAACATCTATGTCTGTTTTTACAGAACAGAGGGACAGCTGCTTCAACTGTGAAAACTTAAATTCTTGTGTTTTTTGCTTTGCTGTTTGCTTTCCTAAATTTAATTTTTATGAAAGACCATAGTACGAGTGCTAACAGAAGCGCGGTTCTTGAAAAAACTTTATTGTGTCCTCCAGTTGTCTTCACGTTCTTAACCTAAAACGCATTTTCGTTAGTGCAGCTGTCTGAGTGTTTTGTTTTGTCTTTTTTGAAGTTTATTTGTCCGTTCCCACAAAAATATGGACATCTCACAATCAAATTTTAATAAAACTAACCCGTTCCGAGGCGAATATAAGTAGTAACAACTTCCGACACCGCAATCTCGCGTTAAGTATTTCACGTGCACATCAATATTTTATTCCTTTAATATCTCTGTTAACTTTTCTGCGGCCCGGCTTTCTCGGGAAAAAAATTGTAACGAAGATCTTTAGTTACTTTTTTGCGATATCATTGTCAAAGTTTCTTGGCCAGGAACCAGGAGTGCGATACAAAATTTAATTAAGTTAACATTAAAACGAGAAAGTATGATCGTGTCAGTCAAGTTTTTTCGAAAGCCACAAAGAAATTATGTGGCAATCTATTCCTCTGTTCGCGTACACTCTCATTAAAACTTGTTCTTTTATCAATAATTTAGTAAAAAGAGCTGAGGCAGTGTATGTGGTAAATATATATATAAAACGCGAAAAAGTACCAATTCTGTTTTAAACGTATTTTGCATAACAGACGTAAACGAAATTTTGTATTTCCTCGATTGTATCCAGTGGTACGTTTGATTCTTCAGTCTGTGAAACGAGAGAAAACTATATAAAATAACAACCTAATTAAGAATTATTTTGAAATAATTTGAGAGAGAGAATAAAATTTAATTGAAAAGTGAATTTCCTTATGTGGTTTTCTCATTCAAATGTGCTCGAGTGTGACTGCATCGCGGTACATTTTTTAAAATACGACAACGGATCCCTTCAGTTATTTAGAAATATTCGGTTCGTGTTATTTTCCGGACTTGAATAAAAGTTTAGCTTAATGACAACCATAATAGGATGAGATTTTCCGAATTGTAGGTCCACTAATTGATATTTTTGCCTAATTATACAGGAATAAAGTCTACAAGAAATTGAAAATGATAAATGTGCATTCGACGCAGACACAAACTCTTTAAATGTTCAAGTTCCTTTGAATAAAAAATGAATCCATTAAATGCAGGGTTTATCATCTGACTTCAACAAATGTTAACCCAAAAAATAAAAAAATAAGACCATGTAAGACAAAAAGTAAAATTACAGCTGTTTAGCTGCTTGCTTAAAAAGAGAAAATGCAAGAGGTTTTTTTTTAAAAAAAAAAAGGGACTATGTTCTTTATCTTATAGTTATAATAATATTATTAATAATAACAATATTTATTGATTTGTATTGCGCAAATATCAATCCAGGAAATAAATTTTTAATCTGCGCATGGTAGCTTCTTATCGAATGTGCGCATTCCCTTAAAATTACTTGAAATGAAACCGGATCAACATCAGTATCTGGGCAACTGCCCACCTACCCCTCCCCTAAATCAACAACAGTCAATTGACAACAAGTTAAGGTTGATGTTGGGTTAGGGGAGGGGTAGGTGGGATGTTGCCCAGATACTGATATTGATCCATGAAACCCATAGGAAAATTCTAAGTTCATTTGACCCTTTGACCCCTAAGAATGACCAGCATGTAATTTCTCCTTACATCATCATCCCTAAATCATACATTAAGGTCGCAAGAATAGCGGAAATGATCACCAACTAAAGAAACTATTGATTCTCCTTGTCAGCCTCTTAGGAAATGTATAGCAAACAGCATGGAGAATCTGCATATTGATGTTAGGGTGTAAAGGTTAATGCAACAGGGAGGTGGTGATAATTGAAAAAAAAGAAATGGTCAAAATCAGGAACCCATTACCCAGAGCTTTCGTCTTCCATACTGACCCTCTGAGTCAACCCTGTCCCGTATCTTTTTATTTTTAGAAGCGCCTCCCACGGGGTTTTTCGCGGGTGTTTACATAATAGCCAATCATAAGACAGCTGTGGTACTCGATTGTTTACGACACGCCGCACGAAAGTATTTCAATAATTGCGAAAAGCGCGGAACGTCTGCGTGTTTTCGCGGGAAATTAAAGAACCCCCCCTCCCCCACATACATCAGTTCTACAAATAAAAAGATACGGGACAGGGTTGACTCAAGAGTACAATTGGTATGGAGACTCCGGGTAATAGGCTCCTGTCAAAATTTAATTTTGCAGGGATGTTTCTTGAACCAGTCGCAAAACAACAGCGGTATGTAAGCAAAAGAAGGGTGTTTCTGGGTTTGCATAACCGTAGTCAAAACAAGATGGAGGTCGAGAGAATTCGAGACACCTATCAATTAATTGTGCAAACACAAGACGCCCTCTCTACAGGTTTCGTATGTATTTAGATGTACAGAGGCTGATGCTGAGTGTGGGTGCACAGTGCCCTGCGTGGGCACCAAGCACAGGCACCCCACGGACGGACTCAGAGCGATACCGTTCGATCTAAAGCGAACTCATTTAAAATTTGCCACTTCTTTCTTTCTTTTTTCCTTCATATAAACTAAGTTGCTGAGACATTGTAAGATCTTCTGCTTTCCTTTATTAAGAAGAAACGATGGTTGACAAACAAAGCAAACAACAGTTTGACTCGCTCCTGGTACTTAGTCCTCCTCGTCCTCGTCCTCGTCCTCGTCTTCGTCCTCGTCTTCTAGCTCTTTCCAGTCGTCCTCTTCATTTTCCGCTTTCTGTGTTTGAGGCATGTCAAGGTAGGCGAAGTCTACTGGGGGTGCCAAGCCAACAGGAGCCGTGACCACCTCATCTTTCTTCTCAGACTCAGACTCAGATTTCCTTGTAAAAAAACAAGTATCTACCAGTCAGGGTTGATAACTAGTCATTTCAAATCGACATAGAGAGGTTACCTTGAGCTTATTGTATAGTTTTGCATTACATATCGATGGGCATATATGCACGTGCAACCGCCTGATTTCATTTTTTCTTCTCGTGATTTTTCCATGGTCGATAAGTCATGATAAACAGGGATTTTTTTTGAAAAGGCCGGAACATATTCTGGAAGTCTGGGCGAGGTATAAAACTAAAACCCTCTAACTCTGATTCAGATACAACCGAAAATCCTTTTGTTTGGCCATCATGCTCGAAGGTGATCATGGACAAATTACTAGAAGGAAGAAGGGAAAAAAGGTGGTTACACGTACATAGATGCATTTACAAATGACAAAGAGCATTTTCTTACTCACCTGTTTCTCCATTTTCTAAAGCTAACAGTAGAGATAATGATCAAGAGCAGGATACCGAAAAAGCCTCCGATGATTATCCCGAGGAACTTTATCCACTCCTTCATGTCACCTGAAATGAAGCATAGCGCGTGATTAAATTGATCGCAAAAGCGCACTTAATTAAGCATCATTACTGAGAGGTTGCGGTCGCGCTTTTCCGAAATAATTCGCTTGGGTATGTTACAAAACAACTTTTCATGCTCCATTTGGCTTGGAGTTAATCTGAGAATACGAGTAGAGAAGAGTTTTATGCATTTAATTTGCTGTGTGCTTGTTTAAAACTCGTTCGCTGACCTTCATAAACGCAGCTCTTGCCAACTCTTTTGTACCCATTCTCACACTGGCAGCGATAACCGTCGTCCGCGGAATGCAACTTCTCCAAGTTGACACAATAACTATGAGGAATTTCTTTGCAGGTTTTGTTACCAAACTTGCATTCGTCGATATCTGTAAAGGGTTAAGTTGCGCTGATTATTTTGAAGACGTCAAGAAATCTAAGAGTTAACAGCATTTACTGACGTTTCATGCAACACATCAATCAAGAGGAAGAATTTTTCAACACATTTTTTGAGTGACCAAGACAGAATTTCTCCTTACAATACCAATACAATATCAACCAGATAAGTGATGAGAATAAAGAAAAAATATCAATTTGAGGATAATGAGTTGATCCAATACCAAATTCTCTGAACTAACATTACAAGAATTGTATGGTTGACAGTAAGGAGAATTACAAATTTGATCTGGGAGTTAAAGGGTTAAGAATAACATCTGCGAACAAAAAACGAGACTCGATAGCTTTGAGAATGATTTTAAAGACATGAAATCATGCGTGTTGCGCGTGGGAACAAAAGCATACGAAGGGTAGAAGGGCTGGGGTTGGAAGAGAAGACGGGGGGGGGGGTTAAGTTTCAAAAGAAACTATGGTGCTGCGTCGGAGGGAGAGTAATTTAGTATTATCGACTCAGTCGATAACGTATACGTAAATTGGCCTCCGCAAAGAAATTAAAAGCTGATGCTTCCAGCGTTAGCCCTTCGTCAGAGCGATTGGAGGAATTGTGGGTTTTGTGTGGGTTTATATGCAGAAAATGGAGCTACGCTATCGGTGGGAATATGGTGACGAGAAAACAAGAATAAATTAGTTGAATAAAAAGCGCTCGTTGATACCGTGGGGATTAAGAGTGCTGAATTGAAAGATAAATTTTTGTTTTAGAGTTTTGCGAGAACTGTTTAGATGTAGAGAAAGGCCGCAAACTACCATATGCTGCTTGAAGGAAGGGAAAACATTCGTTTGGAATGTTATGGGCTAAGTCTAAAAACAAAAAAAGCCCTGCACATACCCACACAGACTTTTTCTGCGTTCATAGCATATCCAGAAAAGCAGTCGCATTGAAAGCTTCCCTGTGTGTTCTGACATTCTCCTTGGTCACAATCATGTTCCACACATTCGTTTATGTCTTGGAGGAGAGAAAAAAACACCAGTTACTATTGTAGGACACCTGAACGCTTGAAAGGATAAACAGTTAGTTTCAGAAGGCACTATTACCGCCAAAAACCCCATCGACGAAATTGTTATGTAGTGTTTTCAACTTTTTCTAACAAGATTAAAAAAGGTTTCATTCTTCCGCACTTTCAATCGTGTCTAACAATAACTCAATTTAAGAAGCGTCACATCGTACTTTCTCAACACGTTGCCTCTGAATTGAATTTCCTTCCCTCGTCTCTTTTCCACTCGTTAAGTGAAAAATGGAAACTCGACCTCGAAATTTTCACAGTTATGCTTCCTAAATGATACCACAACTTGAGGGTCTCAATGGGATGATGGCTTTTACGGCTAATGGTTAAAAATATGGCCAATTTACGGCTAACGGTTTAGTCTTTCCAGTGTGGTCACCAGATTTTTTCCGACTTACATTTTTTATAACTAACAGTTAAAATTTGCCAGTTTTTACGCCTAACGACTAAATTACGGTTAAAGGTGAACCCCTTCGAGAACCTCCTACACGAGAACACGTCAAGAGACGAGACCCAACAGCGGCTAAGGAGAAGACTGAGATATCACGTGATTACCTGTACATTGCTTCCCATTCCCCGTGTATCCTTTCTTACATCCACATGAGTAGCTTCCATGCGTGTTAATGCAGACTGCCCCTACTTTTGCGCAGACCTTAAATTTGTTTGAACCACTACATTCGTCGATGTCTATTAAAATAAGACAAACGAAAATCGATTTAGCAGCGATTATGTGGAAAATAGTCGTCCCATAATCTCTCGGTACGAGTTTAGATCGAAGACGCTTAACTTCATAGCGGAGCTCACAGCGAGTGTACGAAACGCGTGTCCAACGTAACGCCATAGCTTGGAAGATATGGTAACAAACGGGACAGTTGCATTTTCCTTATCTAAGTACAGAAATCTTAGATCGCATTAAATAAGTTTCTGATGAAGTGAAAATAATCGACTACAGTGAAAAACTACTGAGTTAAATTTTCCAACCAAAATAAAATGCCAT